TGGGTGCTGGCAGGCTTGCACCTGGCACGGGCACCATAGCCAGCCCGTGCCCCTTTAAGGGGTCCGGGGCCGGGAGGGGGGCATAGAGTTTCCCTGGTGTTGGCCAGAGTGGCCACCAGGGAAACCTGGGGAGGGCTAGCCTCCCTCTAGTTCGAATTAAGGGGCTACACAGCCCTTTATTTGAACTAGCTAATTCGAACTAGGCTTAATCCTCGTAAAATGAGGTTTACCTAGTTCGAACTAAGCGCTCCGCTAGTTCGAATTAAATTCGAACTAGCGGAGCGCTAGTGTAGCGCCTATTAAAGTTAGTTCGAACTAATGTCCATTAGTTCGAACTAACTCTGTAGTGTAGACATACCCTTATTTACATAGCTGGAATTGCGTACTTTAAGCCCACCTTCCAGTCTAGTGTAGACATGGCCTCAGAAACACAGTCCCAAAGCAACTCTAGCCATGTGACTCTCACTTGAGTCTTAATAAGCTCTGTTATTATCCACTGGTGAGAAGACAGGCCAAATGCTATCATAGAATCATAGACTCCTAGGGCTGCAAGAGACCTCAGCAAGTCATCAAGTCCAGCTCCCTGCCCAAAGCAGGACCAACCCCAAGCCAGGACTTAAAAACCTAGGGTATGTCTACACTACCCCCCTAGTTCGAACTAGGGTGGTTAATGTAGTCATACGGAGTTGCAAATGAAGCCCGGGATTTGAATTTCCCGGGCTTCATTTGCATAAAGCCGAACTACCGTTACTCCTCGTATACACTAGTGGATATTTAAAAATGGCGCCACCCAGCTTTATGCAAATGAAGCCCGGGAAATTCAAGTCCCGGGCTTCATTTGCAACTCCGTATGAGTACATTAACCACCCTAGTTCGAACTAGGGGGGTAGTGTAGACATACCCCTAGGGAGGGAGATTTTACCACCTCCATAGGTAACCCATCCTAGTGCTTCCCCACCCTCCCAGGGAAATAGTTTTTCCTAATACGCAACCTAGACCTCCTCCACTGTAACTTGAGACTATTGCTCCTTGTTCTGCCATCTGTCACTAGTGCCTCACACTAGAGCACAGCCTCTCTCCATCCTCTTTGGAACCCCCCTTCAGGTTTCAAATTCCCCCTCACTCTTCTCTTCTGCAAGCTAAACAAGCCCAAATCCCTCAGCCTGTTCTCGTAGGTCATGTGTTCCAACCCCCTAACCATTTTGGTTGCCCTCCACTAGACCCTTTCCAATGCATCCACATCCTTTCTGTAATGGGGCCCCCAGAACTAGATGCAATACTCCAGATGTGGCTCCTTATACTTATCTAGGCCCCTTCTACCTGTCTCCATCCCCTCTCAACTCCACTAAACTTTGCACCCCTGTGCCCTACCTAGGGAGTGCAATTTATATGAGCATGAACCCTTCAGTCAGCTCATGTCAGACACAGTCTGGCTGCCCTTGATTCACACAAGGACAACAACCCTTTAGTTTTTCTGCCCCCAATAACAAATTGATTTGTGATTCAACCTCAGCCAAAAGGGATCATTTCGGGCAAGTCATCCCATCAAGCTAGGCACCTACACGAGTGGGTGTGCCCATGCCCACAAGGTGAGCTCCTGACATCTTCTTCCCCATATTGTCTCCACAGGTGCAACCTCTTTAGTCCGGCACCCTCAGAACCTGACTGGTGCTGAACCAGCGAATTTGCTGGACCATGGGAGGTCAATATTGTCTAGCAGCATTCATAGCACTTCCACTGCTTCCTGGGGGTAAATTAGAGCTAAATAACAGCTCAGAACCCTGAGAGCCAGGGCTGGAGGCTGTAAACAAACTTTATGGGACCGCGGGAAACTTGGCCACACCCACGCTAAGTGGACATCCGGCTAAGTAAAATCATGCTGGACCCAGATGTTGCCAGACCAGAGAGTGCCGGACTAGAGAGGTTCAACCGGTAGCCGTCAGGGGAGAGCTCATTCAAAGCCTGATTACACCCATGTTACTCCAATGTGATCGGATGTCAATCAGGAAGGGCAGCACTGGAATCCGTAAGATTTGTGGAGTTGGTAAAGGTGGAGCAGGGGAAATACATGGCACCATGCAGCACCCGCTCGCTCCAGCTGGCTTCCCGGCAGACAAGGACCCAACCTCAGTCATTCACACCTTCATCACTGGCAGCCACGTGTCAGACCTGGGCATGAACCCTCCAGCCCATAGGACCCACCGACTGGTAGAGAACGTTGCAGCGCATCCCCCCAAGACACAGCACGTCAGACCCGTCCGGTGCTCCCTACACTGACTCCCTTTAGAAATGTAAATGACTGGGGCTTGGACAGTCAGACCTAGTGGTCATAGCCCAGGGGCAGGAACAGGCCAGGAAGGCAGGATGGAGGGGCCAGTTGGCAGAGCAAGGCTCAGCAGCCAACACTGCTGCCAATCAGGAACTAACTAAATTTCTGAGGCTTCTTCTGGCTTAAACAGCAGCTGGACCAATCGACGTGGCTGGCTGCCCCTCCGTGTCTCTTTGGCTTGCTAGCACCTCGTGGCTACCATCAGCTGTTCAGCCCACTAGTTGCTGGCAAGCCACTGGGTGGCATCCAAAGGGTAAAAGTTGCCTAGGGGGAGCCTATGGGCCCTGCTTCAGGGCCTGTATCTCTCCACTACAAGAGACACGTTCAAGGTCTCAGCCCTGATCTTTGGGATGCTCAGAGGCCTGGGCCCAGGCATCTAAAAGACCCTGAAGCTCCAACCTGGGGGCTGTGATTGACAGCTCTGCTTCTCCAGGCCTTAGAGCCATAGGGCTAGACAGGACCACCAGGGTCATCCAGTCTAACAACCCCCTGCCCAGACACAGGGCTTGCTGGGTCTAGCTACCCCAGAGAGGTGTTTCGCCAGGCTCCTTTAGAGAACCAGTGCTGAAGGGCATGGGCAGTGGGTGAACCTAGGACAAGGGGAGGCAAGCCCCTAGCTCTGCCCCTTCGGCTCCAGGCCCTGCTTGCCACCAGGGGCAGGCCTCCCCACCCCCATGCAAGACCCCACCCTAGGGGCAGGTTTCCAGCCCCCCGAGTGAGCCTCCCTGGCCTCAGATCACGTAGAGGGTGGGTGGCATGTGAGCACAGGGTGGTCAGGCATCCCCAGTCGCACAGGCAGAGTGCCCTACCCCAGCATCCTCAGCCGCAGCATGGCGGCAGCCCGGGAGCCAAGCTAAAGCAGGGGACATTGTGGGGGCAGAGTGTGGGCAGGACCAGGCCTGGCAGGCTGGGAAGGCAATGCCTCCCCCTGCCTCATAGCCCATGCTGAAGGGGCTCCCCCAACGTCCCACAGCAGCCTGTCCCATTGTCCGACTGTTCTTACTGTCCCCTGGGATTCTCTGCCATGGGGGAAAGCTCATCTGTGCTGGGGACAGGGCCTCCCCGGGGGTCAGCCCCAGACTGCGGAGGGAACTCCCCCCAGGAATTACGGACTCACCGCTGCCTCTCCCAGGGCCGGCTGTGTGGCTGTGCCTGGCCTGCTCCGAAAGAAACAGGACCTTTCAGAACAGCCCCTGCACTCAGCTCTCTACCAAAGCATCCCCTGCTCTGTACAGAGAGTTCCCCCTCTCGACCCAGGGTGGGGGATCTTGCTTTGGTCGGGGGCCACTAAGCCACAGAAAAATCAGTCGGGAGCCACATGCCAGTGAGAAGCAAAACCAGAAGTGAGGAGCCCCAAAAAAGGAAGAGGCTGGGGGGCCCCCTCCATGTGCGCCTCCTTCCCTGCGTGCAGGACGAGGGGCCAGAAGCCACGTCCGTCTGGGCACTTCAGGAAGCCGTGCTCCATGGCCAGCGGCCCGCACCCTGGACTGGATTAAATTGTGCCACAGACCGTAGTGGGTGAGTTGTGGGAACATGTAGACCAGAGTAGATGCCCACGTAGTGGGAACATTCTAGGGAGGAGGATGTTAATTGTGCGACGTCCAGCCAGAAGGCACCCAGAGGTTGGGGTCGTGGAGCCGTTCCGTGCGACAGAGTTCACCACGGTGTGAGCTCTGCTGTGATGCTCTAGTCGCATCACCAGCAATGTGAGTCCTGTACCCCTGGGCCATTGGCCTCTTCTTTGGAAACAGGATGAGCTGGTTTGTTCTCTGCCCAGGGCAGAGCAGCCTCCGTGTGGGCTGGTACCTGCCTGGCCCTATTCCACCTTCCCTTAGGGACCCTCCGTGGTGCTGGTGTTGAATGAGACCAGGGTTTCTCTCCTGCCTCTGCCCAGGGCCTGCTAATTGCTCCTGGGAACTGCAGACTGAGCACAGACTTTCACTTCTGCTTTGAGCTGCGGCTTTGAGTGATGACCAAGAAGAGGGGATTTCCTGTGGGAAAGGCAGGCAATCCCATTGCCAGACTCCAACCAGAGCTTTCATTTGCTCCCGAGACAGGCCCCTGTGGGCTCTGGAGCAGCGAGATGGTGGCGTGGCTGGTGCTGGCTCTGCTCCTGCACAAAGGTAAGAGCTCTCCCCCCTCCTCCCTGGGCCGGTCCCACAGTCCCTGTGGGCTCAGACCTTTCACCAGCGCGTGGACAGAGAGCGGTGACAGCAGGGGTTCCACCAGCTCCGACACCAACCCAGCCACAGGGCTCCCCACTGACGTGAGCATCACTGGAACACATCAGACCCGCATGTATACCAGAGAGTGAGGGGGGCGGCTCCTTTCTCCCACAGGAGCAGCCGGCCGTGTCGCAGGGCAGCTGGGTGAGTCGTGGGATCACGTAGACCAGAGTAGATGCCCACGGCTATCCATGGGCTGCTGCCAGGTTCACATGGACAGTTGTGCATTGTTTGTATTGCCCTAGTGCACCTAGCAGCCCCACCCACGGACCTGTTGTGCTGGGGGGCTGGGCCAGAACAAAAAGACGGTTTCCAGCTCTCCTGATCTAAGAAGCTAATCCACAGGGGTGGGGAACCTACGGCCCAGGAGCTGGACGCAGCCATCGGCTTGCCTGGATCCAGCCCCGGAGACTCAGGGCTACCCCTCAGCCCTACAGCAGGGCTAGAGCACAGAAAAGCTACTAGGCTGCCCCCCCACTCCCCCACAGGCTCTGGTGTGCGAGAGGAACGTGGGGCATGTCCTGCTGCTTCTCAGCTAGGGGTCACATCAGTGAGGGTTGGGTTTTTTGTTGTTTCTCACGTGTGTGCGGCCCACGACTAATTTTTCTGTGGGTCAGCGGCCCCCCAACCCAGAAAAGGTTCCCCGCCCCTGAAGGAGGAGAGGTAATAGTCTCTTTTACTACCAACTTGTGTTGGTGAGCGAGACAAACTTTCTAGTTCACACAGAGCCCTGCTTCACCTCCGGGAGATGTGCTGGGAGTGTCACTGCTAAATACAAGGTGGGATAGATGGTTTAGCACAGTTGAAGGGGCTTGTTAACACCTCTCCAGCCACAAGGGGAAAAGGAAAAGCAAACCTGGGGAGACCAATAGTGGGTGACAGTGTGGGAACGAGCCACAAGTCCAGCACTGCTATTCAGGCCGCGATTACAGGTGTCTAGCAACGTTCTGAATTTAAGTTCCCAGGCGTCTCTCTTGAAGGTGGCTGTGCAGGTTTCTGCTGAGGCCGAGGGCTGAGAGGTCAGAGAGGTGGTGATGCTCTGGGAAGTACTTTCACCGCCTATCATTGTTCTGTGTGAGTTCATTCCAGAACATGGCTCTTGTCTGGTTTCCTCTCAAGGTCCCGTCCAGCCCTGTGGTTCTGTGATTTACACTGGTTGTTCCTGATGCATTGAGGGCCCCTGATTAGGTGCTCCACTTCTTAAGATAGGCATGTGTGGGACCTATGGAAGGGGGCTTTAAAGGTTTGGTAAGGGGGTTGGTCATTGCAGCAGTGAAGAAATGTCTGCAGATTTGGCCTGTATTGTTCTGGTGCTACTTTGAGTTGTTGCGTCCTGGTCGGTGGGGAACTGGCTTCTGACGATGAACTTGGTGAGATTGGGGGGTTGCTTGAAAGCCCAAGGAGGGGATTCAGGAAAGATTTCTTCCAGCATTTGATACCCATTGAGGATGGGTTGTAATTGTTTGATGATATGGGTTCCAGGATGCTGTGTGGTCAGGGGGAGGGGGTTATTTGTGTACTGAAACTGGTTCCCTTGGGGTATTTAAGAGGGCCATATTTTCTGGCGGTGTGTCCTGGTTTGGTGAAGGCAGTATGAAGTGTATGAAGACATGTATTCTGACTGGACTTGCTCTTTGGAGCCTATATTGTGGTAGCAGAGGGCTTGGCTGTAGATAACAGATTTCTTGGTGGGGTTTGGAGTGGTTCCTAGATCTATGAAGGTAGGTGTGGTGATCCATGTGCATACATTTGGGGGGTTCTGTGCCTGAAGCTAATTGTGGTGGCCAGGAAGCTGTTGCTGGGGTGGCAGTGTTTTTGAAGAGAGTTTAACAACTATCCCAGTGAGATTCAGTTGTTTGGAGGCCTGGGTTTTCCTTCCTTTTTGTTGTCGTTGTTGTTGTGGGGGCAGGGGAGAAAGCTCAATTTGCAACATTTAATTTTAAAAGACCATGTCAGTTAAATATCTGACTTCAGCAAAGTCAGGCGGCATCTGGAGCAAGCAGGGAGCTGTTCCGATGGTTCCTGTGTCACCACAGCAGCATCCACACTGCTTCCAATTGCTGGAACATTCGCTCTTAGCTGCACAGAGGTGTAAAATGGGGTGTGTGCCCTTTTTAGAGTGTTTGTGGTGGAGAAAGAGCCCGGGAGGTGGTGGGACAGTGGCCTAGGAGGAGGGAGGAGTGGTCTGGCCTTGGGGCGGTTGATTAAAAACTGCTGTGTGGCGGTTCCTTTTTGCCTGAGGAAAGTCTGGTCTCGTTTTTGCCGGGTGTGCCGGGTTACTGTGGGTGCCACTGCTCGCCGGGGGAAGGCCCTAGCATTTCTGTGACATGGCTGCCTCTGTCCTGGCAGCTTCGCCATCCCAGGGCATGGCAGGTGGGCCACCTGTGGGGAGAGGAAGAGGGAGTTTGGAAGGTGACAGCAGAGGGGAGGGCTGTGGGGACTCTGCCTTGGCTACCACAGCCAAGCCAGGCTCCGCCAGAGAGCTGCCAAAGATGCCCAGGGGGAGTGACGAGACGAAGGCTCTGGGTGTCGAGATAGGAGAGCTGCGAGGGTGTCAAATATGCTTCTCCTGGTCCCAGCTCCTCCCATGTCCCTGACACGAAAGCATCTGCCTGTTGCCTCCTTCCAGCCCCAACCGCCGCAGCCCACGCCACCTTGCAGGTGACAGGAGTAGTAGGGAGAGCCGTGTCGCTGGGAGTGGACGTCCCCCCCGGGTTCCAAGTCAGGGAGGCCATCTGGAGGTACCTGACCCCGGCAGAAGAGCTAGTGGCCACCTACTTCCGGGGCTCCACGGAGACCCTGTACCAATCCCGTTTCTACGGGCGGAGCCGGCTCCACGGGAACCTCACCCTGGAGATCTGCCAGGTGGAACTGGGCGACAGCGGCAGCTTCTCAGCCCTGCTGGTGAACACGCGAGGACAGACGGAGAGGCGCCTGCTGCACCTGGCAGTCTACGGTATGCCGGGCTGGGCTCCTCTTCCCCCCCCCACGTAAGGGCAGGAAGGCGACATGCTTGTAGCAAGGCCAGGTTCTCCATGGAGGAACGCTCCGGGCAGGCTCACCTGAGCCAGCAGGGCTGCCTGGTGCCAGCCCATCCCTGCCGGTGGCCAGGCCCAGCAGCGGACTCTGACTGGAGTCCCAAGAGGGAGCAGGGGGTCTGAGATAAGCTGCCAGGCAGACAGGCCTGGGACAGGCCACTCACCCTACCCAGACTCCGAGGATATTTTAGGTTTAAATACAAAGCTCTGGGGGCCAATTTCTAGAGCCCTGCCCAGATCTAAAATTTGTATCCACACTTGCATCCACAGAAGTGAGCTGCAGATATCTGCACCCACATCCGCGGGTATGAAGCAGATAGCCATGGGTTTGCAGGGCTCCAGTATCCTCCTGGCCTGGCGGCAGCTTGTGATGAAAGGTCCCGGCTGCCCTTATCACTCATCGACCCCCCCCCAGGTTACACGGCCAGAAGGGATCAAGTCTGCCCTCCAAGAACCAAGAAGCGTGTCACTCCCGGCATCGTGATGGGAGACGACAACCACTGCCTCTGTGGGGCAGCCAGAGCCAGCCTGCCCTAGGGAGGTGACGGCATGTCCCATCGTCCTCACTGTGGGCACCCATTTGTCCCAGAGGGCAGGAAGGGAGAGCACGGCCCTTCAGCAAAACAGGAAATGCTGTCACGGTCACAAGGCAGCACGTAGGGAACTTGGGGGCTTCGACTTCCCTGTTGCCTTTATTTCTGTTCTGACAAAGCACCTGCAATCACCGCAGGTGCCCCTTTGGCCCTGTATGACGAGGGACCCAGTATGAAGCAGCCCCCACAGCCTGTCACAGCCTCAACCCCCCCTCAGCCCCATTGCCCTGCACACTCGCCCAGACACTTGGGGCTATTAGAGTTGAAGGTTGAAAGCCCTGCCAGAGAGCAGCACCGAACACCCAGTCAGCCTGGTCTCTGTAGGGACAGTCAGAGTGCGAATGGGTGTATGCCAGCTCTAATACTGGGTGTGCTGGGGCGACAGGCGGTCCCCTCGGGAGGGGGCTCTGAGCGTGTAGCCAGAGGAAAATTGTTGAGTGTGACCCCTCTCCTGTCCAGAAGTGGTTTCCCAGCTGACGCTGCAGGTGTTCACCTCGGAGAGTGGCCGGCATGACTCTGCGAGGGCCTGTGAGGTGTTCCTGACCTGCGTGGCGGCAAGTGGCACCAACGTAACCTACAGCTGGGGCAGGACGGACAGCGAGGCACTGAGCGTGGACAAGCACTCGCTCTTCAAGGCTGGCCAGGTCCTCTGGGCGAAGCTGGACCCCTCAGATGGGCAGGTGTCCTATACATGTACAGCCGCCAATGCCGTCAGTCAGAACTCGGCGACCATCACGCCCTGGGATCACTGCCAGAGGGAAGCAGGTAGGTCACATCTCTCCCCTCTCCCAAACCCAGCACAGTTCCAGCCGCCTGGCAACAGCCAAGGGCACAGCTGGGCTGTAGCCATAAGGCTCCAGGATCTCAGTGCCTGGGGGATGGATTTTGCAGGAGATCATTTACTTTTCACGGCAGATTTGCCCCCCGGTGAAAGGGGAGGAGGTGGAATGGGCGGGGAGCCATTGGGGCTGAGGCACATCTGGGGTGTTCCGAGTGCCCAACGCCCAGGTCAGACCCCCACCTGGGTTCAAGCTATGGAAATGGCTCTCGTTTTCCTACAC